AAGAGAGGGAATGACACGCAGGAAAGGGCCGCAGGTCGGATTCGAACCCGGGCCGCTGCAGCAACTCCGTATATGGGTCGCCAGCTCTACCCACTGGTCTAACCGGGTGCCCTATATTTAAACGTTAATGAAAAAATAAAAATACAGTCAGTGTGGAGGATCCAATCTGATCAAGCACAGTCGTCTAATTCTGTTCTCAACAAGTGATCGCACGTTTAATGGAAACCTACACCGTAGGCATCTATGACAGGGTCGGCATTAACCCCTTGTGTCGATCAAGCTTAATGCAACACTACACCTGTCAGTGATCAAAATCATGAAAGTGAACAAGGAAGTGATTTTGGACACTGCTCAGAAAACCCTTTTTAATGTAGTAAATATCATTCCTTCAACTGTATTTATTTCTATGACAGAGAACTAAATTGGTGACGAGAGAATAGAAAGAGAGAAATTGAGTATAAAACGGTGGTTTAACTGAGAGATGTTTCTCAATTTACAATCAATTATGATGTCTTTTGTTAGGAGGAGTCTCTTTCACTCTCACCTCTTTTGTCCCTTTCTATTGATGGAAAGTATGTGTTTGTGCTTGCAGAGACAAGGCAGGAAGAAAGAACTGACGGTGGGAAAAAAGAAAAGGGAGAACAGAGAGGAGTTTGCCTTTACAGCGAGCCTGTTTAAGTTCCCCCCTACTTCTCCTGGCAGAAAGGGAGTGTAAAAGAAAAAAGAAAGACAGAAAAGAAAGAAAAAGAATATGGTGAATAAGAAGGGCTGATTGGGTTTTTAACAAGTATTCAGGGGAGCAAAGTGTGCTTGCATTGTTCCCTTCTCGCCCAGGGTAGGCTGTGAAAGAGAGCGACAACTTTGCTGCTCAATAGGGACAGAATGAAAGAATGAAAGAGAAAAGAGCGAGAGTGGGAGAACATGAGAGCTGTATGAGGAAGAAGAAGGGAGGGAGGCTCTTGAGCAGGTTTCTGTTTCAGGGTCTATGTTAGTCTTGACATGCGCAACAATCTTTTTGACCTCTATGCCGTGATTTATTCTTTCTATATCTTCTCTTACAGCTTGACGAGCAAGGATCATGTCATACTGAGACACTGATCACTATTGAGGGAAGACCTGTTGTCTTCTGTGGTGGTAGTCTATGTGCTCACTGCAGTAAAGGATAAGGATGGTGATATTCTAGAGCTTTGTTATTGTCAACAAATCTCAAGAAAACACCAAAATCAGCAATGGGTTGGTCTGTCTCAAACGTAACTCATTAAGAAGAACAACAATTTGTTTATTTTGTTTATTTCTTAGGATCCCCATTAGCTGTGCCCTGAAGTACAGCTAATGGAGATCCTTCCTGAACAATAGAGTTCTATGGCACAGAGTAATAAGATATATCAGGCTTTGGCTACACAGACAACAGTTGTTTTACTGGAGCAGTTCATTGTTGGTTTTGGTCTTTTTGTGGGATTTGTTGATAATGAGAAAAATATAGAATATCATCAGATCTATTTTCATCAGATAAAACACAAAGAGTAATTAGACAATTAAACTTCATAACTTAAAATTTCATGCAATTTCATCTAAAAAAGTTAAATATAGAGATCTATGAAAAGAGGAGATCATACACTGTACGACAGGTAATGATGCAATGTTATCATTTATGGGGCTTTAATAGAGTCATATCATCATTTTGTTACTATTGTATAGGTTTTTGTTGGTTTACATGTACGAGTAGCTTTGTCTGCAGTGATGCATTAAAGTAAAACACACCTTATTGCAATCAATTGTTATCCTATTTATGATGTCCCATATTTTGATGTATAACCATATCAAAATATTATAACAAATGATTTTAACTATATCAGTCGGCCGTAATGATTGGTTAATAACATGTGAAACGAGCATATCAATAGAATTGATCTTCTGTATTTCTCAACCCTGATTAGAGCAACATTTCTGTCCAATATGAATTTCATCTATTTTGGAAAATATCTACGGTAGTTTTCTCACTTTCCATCATCTAGCTGACAAAGCTTTTGGTAGGGACTAAATGTCACCATCGCCTGCCCCAGGCCGCTGCTCCCTGCTCCCCCTCCACTCCCTCTCAGTGACTGACAGCTATCTATCGTTGTCAATCATCAACACCCCCCTTACCTCAGCCCAACCCCTCACGGTTGTGCTCAGGGAGCTTTAGCCTGGTGCTTGGTGCTACACTATCAGATGGCATGACAAATGACTTCTCCTTGGGATTACTCACAGGCCAGCAAAGCGCGCGGGCGAGGCACACACCACACACACACCACCGGACCAGCACACACACACACACACGGCACACACCACACCCACACCACCACACCAGCACCACAAACACAGCCCCACGACACAGCAGCACAGGCATACTGACTAAACAGACAAGACGGAGGGACAACCGGCCAAAACACGCAGGCGATCTCAACATGCAACCTCCACAAACGCACACATGAACATGTGGACACATACACAATCATCCACAGACTATCATACATACACATATCCACTGATAATGGATCATTTCAAAGGCTGTAAATGTTCTAAATATTCACTTCTCTGTCTTTTTTTACCCACCCCCAATATTGATTGTCCTTATCTGTCATAATTCAGCACAGTCTGAGCTCATTGCAATCACTCCTCACAGATAGACTGTGAAAGGAGGGGGCATGTTTATCAACTAGCCATGAAAAGCAGAGATAGTTGTCGTTTCTACACATTTCCATTTCTGCTGTCCATTCAATAAATTCTATACATTCTAATAACTCCTTAAGAAGCAAGTCTATACAACACTGTCGATGGGAAATAAGTCTCTTTTCATCACTCTCTTTCATTCTGTTCTTCATACATTTTGATTTCCTCTTAAAACATTTAATTTCTTTCTCAAATTTTTCTTTGTTCTGTCCTTTTTTTCTTGTTTGCTCTTTGGGGTCCTTAACCTGTCACACCATGTTGCCCTAGCCTGTGCCTGGTTTGATTGGTTTCTCTTTTCTTGCAGGCAATATCATGAGCCTCTTTCTCCTATTGAACACCTTCAGGGTGCTACGTGAAACCACAGTGCATTACTCCTCTTTCCTGTAGTCTGAACTCACTGGCTTTCACAAACACAGGCACCTACAACACCAAGCGTGATTCATGTACAATTACTGTATGTGAAAACATACCCACAGCTTCCACAGTAGAAAAGCCCACACACATCACATCTTACATACAGTGCAAATCAGTTCACATGCAGATTTTACTGTCACTGCACATGGAAATTAATATAAGAACCAACATTAAGTGGCATACGCTGTCAGTGTCATTACAACATTACATTACAACACTTATCACAATTGTCAAGGAATGCTGGGAATATTTGTTTTTGGTTAATAAATCAATAATAATCAGCTACGTCACTAGTTGCTAACTTTACAAATCAATAATATCTGAACTCTTGGCTTATCTCAGTTCTTTATCCTTTACCTGTTCTCAACATTTTCCCAGCTGACTAAGGTACACACCAGTGTATGAAACGGGACTCTGATTGGCCAGTACAGCGCACATTAACTTCAGATGTTAGGCCAAAAAACTGGACATGTAACATGAGCAGCTTTTTGATGGTTTCCTTATTTAACACTTGACAAAATATTGACGGTCAAATGTTTCTATGAATTTTAGAATGTGTAAATATAATATAAAGACACATTGAAAAATCACATCTAGCCTTTAATGACATTTTTGTGTCTGTTTCCGGAAAAGGAAAATAATCTGACCCTACACAATTCAAGAACAAGAACTAGACATACATTTACTAGTAATACCTTTTTTGGCATATCAGCAGTGTTGCTAATATACATATGTAGCCAGATTCTTGAGGGCTACATGAGCACTTTGGCAGGAGCTGATATCAACTTGTGTCTCCTCTGTGCACTGTAAAAGAACAGCTCGCTTGGCCAAATGTACATCAGCAGCTGGTGTAGATCTTTACAGAGAAGCTGGTTGCAGTGCGCTGGTTTCAGTGCTGCACCTATTCACCAAGTATCACCTTCTACAGCATATTCCCATATTACTTATATCTAAACCAATTTCTTCAGGGCTACTTGAGCACCTGGAGGGGGGTGAGGGGCAGTTAGCAGATATGGGATTGGGTCTCTCCCTCTCCCTCCACTATGGTTATTGTCAACAGGGTAGCATTCATGCCTAACAGGGCCACCAGAGGTTATCGCTGAGCCAGAGTGTGTATGAGAAGAGGAAATCAAGCTGCAGGAACCCGACGCATATCGTTCTGTGTAGCCCTCGGGGCCAAAGAGGGGACAGGGCGCCTGTGTGTATATACGTTTGTGAGTGTGTAGTAGCAGGGTGAAAGAGGAAAAACACCAGTGTGCATTTGTGTGTTTCGCAAGTGTGTATTGAAAAAGTAAATGTGCGTGCGAAGAGCCGAAGGGACAGTGTGAAAATGGGGATGTGAGCGAGTGTGCAGCTCAAACTGTGAATGTGCAGATACGATGACATAGGGCAAGGAGGAAAATAGGTGTGAATGGGTTATTCAGTTGAGCTGTAGGAGTGAGTGCATATGTGTGGGTTGTAATTTGTTAGGACAGGAGAGGAATGAGACCAAAGAGTCTGTGATACTCAAGCCAACATGGATTACAGTTAGTACACACCAATAAACACATGCATACGCCCTCCTGCACACTCTTTTACACACAAACACACGTACAAACAAAACAGTCTAATCAACACAAGACAAATATGCTCTTATTATGTACACACCAACATCAACACACACAAAGAGGAGGCAGTTTAGTAAGCTCCCAGCAGGCAGCTGAGTTAAGATACCATCTCACCTCTGCCAGGTGACTAAGTTATGCTTTGGACACACATCGCCATGTACACACATCACAGCAGGGGGAACGTCTTAAGAACACTGTCATTATAACACTGTGGCTGTCCTGCATATGTGTGATTGTGAGTGCACGCATTTCCCTTCCTTCATGTGTGTTTCCACCCTCCCCCATCAAACCATGAAACACACATACACACTATATCCAGGGATTAATGGCAGATCTCTAAATAAGGCTAAATGGAGATGTGGATGGGAGGGAGCTAAGTGGTGTGAAGGGCCCAGCGGTGTCTGCCTCTTACCTTTTTGTTGTTTTCTTTAATATCCTGAGGATTGAGCGACTTGTAGTCTCTGGAAGAACAGTGGGGAGGGTCGGAGAGGAGGCAGGCGAAGGAAAAAAAGAGAGAGAGAGAGAATGGAAGACAGAGAGAGATAGCGGAGAAAGAGCTGTGTTTAAATATGCATCACATGTAATGGCATTAGAACTGTAACATGCAATTTCATAGCAGTGCAATCAACAGAACTAATAGAGTGGAAAATATGTAAAAATAACACACTGGAGTGCAAAGGCACACAAGCATAAACACAGACACACACACACACACACACACGTACACAGAGCACTGTTTTGATAAATCATCTACTCTCTTGATGAGGTTTTTCCATATGTTGTACTTTTGAGTGTTAAATATACTTAAACATT